AATGACCTTGGGTTAAGGACATGACACACCCTTAGGTCATGAGCAATCTTTGTGTGAAGTAGAAGATTCTAATGCTCCTCCGAGAGAAAGATATGGACTGGACATGTTTGCACAGACAGCTAGACAAACGGACAGACGGACAAGGTGATTCCTATATACCCCCAAACTTTGTTTGCGGGGGTTATAATATATAATAATTAATAGAATATGCATTTATAGGACATGATCGGATGGTATTCTTGCATATATTTTATATACAACATTATAACAGATGTAAAAAAAAAAAATAGAAATAATAGAACAATGGTAAACAAACATTCTGTGAGTATTGCTATAGCAATAATAGTCCCCTATTGGCAAGTGAAATCTGGTTCCCATGAAAAATTGAAAATGTCCTAATTCAGTCAAAAATCAATGAAGCGAAATGAAATTCAAACTTGATCTATCAATTAATCTAAAGTCTTATAACAAAAATTAGCTCAATATGTTCAAGCTTTTAAAAATAATTGTGGAAAACCATAAAAAATTTAAAAGGTCATTACTCCATCAAAAATCAATGAAGCAAAACCAAATGCAAACATGATCTATAACTCATCAGGATACATTCACATACCAAAAATGAGCTCAATATCTCTAAGTGTTTAGAAAAAAGTACGGAAAACCAAGTGGGACAGACTGACAGACAGAGAGACAGCTAGACAGACAGATAAATGGGCAGACAGACGAAGAGGAAACCTCTAGTCCCCTCTGGTTTCACTGGTAGGGGACTAATAATCCGATTGCTTTAAAGCAAAATTTATTCCCCTTAACACACTTCATACTTTACAAATAATTCCTAAGTTGCATGTAAATAAGTATTTCAATCAACTTAGTTTCATAAGAATATTTTTTAAGACTAGTCAATATACATGATATAGAAAATATTAATTATATTCAACTAGTACATGTGTATTACAGACCGAGTCATGTCAATTAAGTTATATACCAGATTTATAGCTAGATACAGGGTGCTTGAATTGAATCATTATCAATAACATCCATATACAGGATGAAAACAAAGGAAGCATAAGACTTATGAATATACAACATCTATGATTTTTCAGTTTTATGATGACTACAGTGTATACATATTCATCGTGGAGAATAGGTTATTGAAATGTGTTTCTCACGTTCCAGCATGCACCACTTTTGAAATATAATGTCCAAATATTTCATTTTATTATTGAAATGCATACTGCATGTATATATACAGTGTACTTTACATGTAAACAATAACACACATAATTAACACATCATAAGTATGCTTATCTTGCTTAGTGCGAGGTTTGTGTCATCATATTGTACAGATATCAGGGATAAAAAAAAGTTACTTTCCTTATTTTCATTACACATTTTCATAATTTAGTAGATAGAATTATTTAATGACAAATAATAGTAACTCAAAAATTTCATGTATTCTAAATGAGAAAAATTTATTAGAGCAATTAAAAGAAAAAGAATAAAGATTTTCGACCTAAAGGTTCTTATAATCAATTGACTGTATAATTTTGAAAGAAGAAGTGGGCTATAGTAAACAAATCCAAATCTGCAAGCAGAAATATATGTATATATGTAATTCTTTTTCTAGGCAAGCAAGCATGTACAAAATTCAGTGACTCAGTGGTATGCCCCTTTCTAAAATTTTTTGCTATTGATAAACTAAATTTCATTTCATATGATGCATTCTAGTCCTGTAATGCCAGAAAAAATATATCCTTATAAATTATATTCAGTAACCTGTAGCAACCTTGACATTAATATCAAATACTCCCCGACCTTTGACATTGTCTATTGGGTAATGGAGCCACAATCTGGGCACTGGACATACAGAATCCTTTTCACTGTAATTTTTTCTGATCTACTCCTTATTGAATGCACTTTACAGATGATTAAATTAATAATATCAGGGGAGTAGCTCCAATTATGGCAACTGCCTCATTAGATTTTTCAGCAACATCCCTTAATACATTGCAGATTTTTTTTTTCTTTTTAAACTAATGGTTTTTATCCCATATTTACCCCTTTATCCCGTGGATATCATTCTTTGGAAATTTTTTTATATTTGATAAAAGGAATGTCCCGTGCTTTGTGGTTGGATATGATTTTTATCCAACTTGTGTGTTTTTATCCCCTCGCCAAGCCTCAGGTATAAAAAAAAAACCTTGTTGGATAAAAATCATATTCAACCATATATCATGGGAGATTCTATATATATTTAACATTTAAACAAATCTATAAAATGTTGTACTTTCATAAAATTAATAAAATATGTATTGTAGGTACGTTATATTGCATTTCCGTAGCAAAGTCTAAATAGTGCCTATATTTCTTTGTAACAAGAATAAAAAAAGTAAAATGTAAGTATAAGAAATATCATTTTTAGAGTTTCATCGGGATATGACATGAAGTCGGTGTGTGATCAAATCTACAATAAAGTCCTTTGGGCATTATAGAATTTGATCACCTGACCGACTTCATGTCATATCCCAATGAAACTCTAAAAATGATATTTTATTTCTTAAATGTGTTTGAACATGTTGAAAAAACATTTTTTATTTAATATATTAAACCCTTTTAAAAAAATATGCAGCATCTAATGATTATATGCAAACTGAGGTTTAAATATTGAAACTGGTAAACCTTACGAAATTTCTGTCCAAGACAAGTATGATTTTACTTTCCAGGCTTAAAACCCCTATAAACAGTGATAAATGAACAATGCATTTTTCTTCGAATGGCTTCGCCCCCTGACCCTCCCTTCGTGGCTCCTCCCTAGACCTACTTGGGGCCTAAGGTGCTCCCCACACCCCCGGCTGCAATAGTTTTGCCTCACTAGAATTTAAAGTCAAGCTAAGCCCCTGAATATACCTACAGAAATCGTTAACACACAAGATTGTTGTGCTTACCTTGTCATTCATTTTGTAAACACTGAAAATGCAGCACATTACAGAAGTTGTTGAACTGAATGAATCGCTAAAATGTACATAGAAGTGATACCCATATTCTTATTATTTTGTTCATCATCTCTGACACAGACCCGCCCACCCTTCCGCTTTTGGCGTAATTCTTCCGCCTTTTACCAAAAATTACGCTGTTACGCCATGAAATATAATTTTACGCTTTTAAATAATTTTTCCTAGAAACCTTCTTAATGAGAGGCGTTCCTAAATGAAAACGAGAAGGTAATGGTACAAATTAATAGAGGTTTCGATTCTTCACGATATGATTATTTGCGATGCAAAAAAAAGATACTATTATACCTTTTAGTAATAATTAAGCCTTTATAAAACGGATGCCATGCCAAAGATTGTAAAACTATTGAATGAAATGTGCAATAAATAAAGTCGGTTTAAGTTTCAATTCAGTTTATTCTTACACTGCTTAGAACAACATAGAAACAAGTAAATATATAGAAAAAAAAACTACATTGAGCAATAATGTAGAATTCATATTAACGTGGAAAAAAAGTTCTGAATTATATGATTTGCTAGAATTTAACCAAACGTTCATTAAGCATGTAAGTTTAAATAAGTTTGATATGACTGCATTTAGGTTACCAGCTTTACAACACATAGACTTTTTGTCAATAAATAATGTGAAAGAGAAACATTCATGCTTGCTTTGATGTACAATTAACGGTTTATCTGTAATATTATTACAAAATATAAAACTAGGGACACATAAAGGATTACGCCTTTACCTTGCAATTCCACCAAAGTGAGTATTGAAATTACACCCTCCCAATAAAAAGGGTAGGCAGGTCTGCTGACATTTCATTAAAGCGAAACATACTGAATTAATGTTGAGATCCCGGGTTTCTGATTGAACACGGTGAAAATGAAGTTGCTTACCGAAAAACCGGAAGTGCATACTTTTATATTTCTGATTATGTTTGAATGAATCTAATTCACTGAAAACTCTAGAAGCATTGCTTTTTTATTATTTTAATAAGAATGACCATTTAAGACTGCATAAGAATTTAGCTTTTGTTTTACGACTTATGCGCGTCATCATGCGCAGAAGGCGCGAATTATTAAACCCGCGACCTACCTTAAAACTGTTAAAAATTGATCAACATTAGTGTATTTATCTCCATCTGTATAAAAAAAAAAATAGCAAATAATCTCAAAAGTTTGTGAAGTCACAGACACGAAAATGTCAGTATTTCTCCCAATATAAGATACATTTTGTTCACTCGGATTTTTTTTTTTACATAATATCAATCGTGCACATTCCAAGAGATGTTCCAAGATTTGACTTTTTTGAGGGCAGGGACATGCCTTTACCGTATATAGTTCTTTTTTTTTCTTTTTACCTAATATTTGGATTTCTATAAAACTGTTATCGTAAATTCTATATATAAAGCCATAGGAAACTAAGGGTTTATAATAACGCCGGGATGGGGGAAGGTTTTCGTTTCCCGTCATCTAGAAAATTTCACTTAAAAAACAAAGACCTTTCAAATGTTTGAACATTGTCGGATAAAGAGACAAAATACATGTATGTCAAAATCTGTTTTTAAATGGCACAAAAAAGATTTATTAGAGAGTGTCCTCTGTAATTACGAATCGCGATCCGGGCGTTCAAAGTTAATCCGTTGCTCGAAGTCAAGTGAAGATCTCTTTTTGTATAAATCCATTTATAATATTGTACTCTGCAATGATTTGTTCATATCGTTTAAAAAAATATCAGAGGAACAAAACAAATTTCAATTTGTACTCGGCAATGATGTTATATAACCAAACGGTGACAGCGCCGGATGACCATAATTGATGATAAAAGGTTTCAAAACATCTAAGATTAAGATAGTTTAACGATCGCTAATGTTTTTTAACAAAACCTCCATAATTTTAATACTATCGCAGTCCATGAACTTTTTGATAACCCCTCGCATCACTTTGTACCCTTTAAAACAATCGACCCGTTAATATACAACATATATTCTCTACCTTATACTTGAACGAGAGTAATACGTGATGGAATATAAAGTATTGCCAGACGAAGCGTTTATAAATTCGGGCCATTTTCATCAACTTCTTGAACCCTGTTTGGAACCTGTGTTGAATTATTTAAGTGAGTAGCATCTTGCTAGATTTTTATGTACAAGTTAATCTTGATTGAAAGCAATATACACAAGTAAGGAGATTCAAGTAAACAGTTTCAAAGTTCTAGAAAATGTAATAGATACGATCAAATGTTGAGTTTACATCCCTTTAACTTGTCAGGTTTAGATGCACATTGTGATCAAGCCGTCAATATAGTGGACGTCGGGACGGGCGATGGACGAACTGTTTCTCCATTCCTGAAAATTCTGATTGGTAGGGATTTCGTTTTCTTTTACCTTTAGTTGTTCAAATCGAAGTTATGACAAATGGTTTTCGTTTGCTATTAGTTTGGGTATGCTCATATATTACACCATTCTATTATAAATGGTGATGTTTACGAATTATATTTTCAAATTATTGTATCCAATGGCTGAAGCGTTCTGGTAAAGCTACACGATCGGATTGTATTAACCGTTTTAAAACACAGAGCACTAACAATAGATGTACAATAGAAAAAATAACCTAGAGCCCACACTGAACGAAGTACCATTATTTCAGCACACAACAGTATTGAGGAGGCAAACTTCTACAGGCATGACAGCTAGCTTAAAGGTCTTGTTTTGCCCTTCTTTCTAAAGCTTCTTTTGTTATGTCAAGAATGAGGACGCATTCGATTGCCATTCTAGGCACACTTGAAAATTTCATTGATCTGTTTCATGAAATTTCAGCATTCTTTTGAAGTATCGGGTTCCTGTGAAATATGAAAGGGAAATATCTCCCCGATATTGTGTTTTGATTTGCTAAAAACATAAGTTAAAAATAGGCTAAATAAGTCATTTTCATTTTTTAAAAACATTTTTAAACACCTTCTTATAAAAAAAAAATTTGCTATCTCTGGGTTATCTCTCCATGATTTAGCAACGTTATTTGTGTACATTTTAATTCAATGACACGAGCAAATAATTGTAAAAAAAAAATGGAAGACCCAGAGACCATAAAAAATGAATTTATAAAAAACAATTGTGTAAATGCGGTACTTCATTGCCTTTTTAAAATCCATATTGTGTGTTGCAGTAATATCTCAGGAGTATTGCTACCCGTCCTCGGCACTGGAATCGAAAAATGTTTGGTTTGATCCTTGCATGGATTGATAATTTTTCTTTTTTTATGTAAACTTTTAATACGTTTGTCATTTACATTTTTTTTTTTGAAAAATAAAAAATAAAATAGATAACTTTTGATTCATTTGCACCGAAAATGAAAGCAATTCTTCCAACGTAGTGAACTTTAATATACACATGAACTTGTAATTATTTAACTATACCCTATTATCTAATAATTGTTTATTTTTTATGTGAAGTGTTACGATGTCATCGCTATATATTATTAAGGTAAGCGGACTTAAATATATATACAATTTGACAAATATTTCAAACTAAATGTAACGTTTTACTCGTGCGTAACTTTCTAAAGACTGTCCAGCACTGGTCAGGCGACCAAATCGTGGAAATTTAAGGACAGATGTGCCCCCTTGCTAGTAGACTTATTCTTGTAATCATATGAAGCAGAATTTGTTCTCAGACTTCTACATGAGAAGAAACACTTGCTGTGGCCTTCAACTCGACATTTAGATATATCGACGACGTAATATCAGTTAACAATTATAGATGAAGCAGGTAATCTGGTCATATTAGAGGTCAACTTAGCAAAAAAGTATGATTTTTTATTGGTAAATCTATATGGACCCAATACAGATCAGCCTGATTTTTACAGTCTGATCAGAGATGAAATTGAGAAATTCCAGGGTGAGTTTGTGTTAATGGGAGGAGATTTTAATTTAATTCAAGACTTTACTCTAGATTGCTATAATTATCGTAACCTTAATAACCCTAAAGCAAGAGAGACCTATGTGACCCCTAGAGGACTAAATATAATAATTCTAGAAGATACACTTGGTTTAAAAACAATCCAGTAAAAAAGGCCAGACTTGACTACTTTCTGATATCAAATGAATTAATGGCCTTTGTAGATAAGGTTGATATAAAGTCGGGGTACAGAACTGATCACTCAATTATTGAACTTCATATTTTATTTTCAGATTTTAAGATGGGTAAAGGGTTCTGGAAGTTTAATAACTCTCTCTTAAAAGATGAAAAATATATAACTTTAGTTAAAGAAACAATAAATAGGATTAAATTTCAGTAAGCAGTGGCACCATATAATCGTGCAATGATTAAGGATATAGAAAACACAAAAATTAATTTTACAAATGATGATCAATTATTCCTAGAATGCTGTTACTTGAGATAAGAGGTATCACTATAATTAAAGTATTGTTCTAGAAAGAAAAAAGAAAGAGACAGAGAAGTAAATATTTTAGAAGAAGAAATACAAGAATAAGAAATCATCAGAAATTTTAACAATTCTCACAAAACTGATGAAAAACTTTCTACTGCAAAATCTAAATTGGAAGAACTTAGAAAACATTATATAAATGGTCTGTTTGTAAGAACAAAAACTAAATAGGTAAAATATGGTGAGAAACCTACAGAATATTTCTTGAGTCTAGAAAAAAGGAATTATATTTATAAAATAGTAACAAAACTAATTAATGATAATGGTTTAGCAATTACCTCGCAACAAGAAATCCTGAAAGAAATTGAAAATTTTTATCTTAATTTATACTCCTCCTGTGATAACACTTTACTAGTTATAAATTTAAATAATTTGATACTTAAGGACAATATTCGCATCTTAAATGAGGATTCGGCTTCCAAATTAGAGGGTCTGATAACCAAGGAAGAAGCATCACTGGCATTGAAAAATATGAAAAATGACAAGAGTCCCGGAAGTGATGGCTTCAACGTAGAGTTCTTTAAATTTTTTTTGGAAGGATATTGGAGATTTTATACTTCGATCTCTAACTTTGGTTTCTTGAAAGGAGAATTATCTAAAACACAGAAACAGGGAATTTTGTCTACATTACCAAAAGGTGAAAAACTAAGGGAATATTTAAAAAACTGGAGACCTATTTCTCTCCTCAATGTTTCATACAAAATTATATCAGCATGTATTGGTAATAGACTTAAAAGTGTTTTAGATTATTTAATCCATGAGAACCAAAAGGGGTTTTTGAAAGGAAGATTCATAGGAGAAAATACTCGACTTATATACGATGTTTTACATAATACAAAAGAAAAACAAATTCCAGGGATGATGTTGCTTATAGATTTTGAGAAAGCTTTTGACACTATTTCCTGAAGATTTATGTACAAGACTTTAGAATTTGTTAACTTCGGTCATGATTTTATAAGATGGATTTCAGTTTTATATAAAAATGCCTCATTATGTGTTTTACAAAATGGTATTTTTTCCAGATTTTTTGCATAGGTAGAGTGCCGCGAAGGAGACCCTGTCTCGCCATATATTTTTAATCTGTGTGTTGAGATAATGGGTCACCTTATTAGACAAAATAAAAATATAAAGGGTATAAAAATTGGTAGGGAAAAAGTATGCTTATTACAGTATGCAGACGAAACAGTTATATATTTGAATGGATCAGAAAAAAAGTTTGAAGAGTGCATTAGATCTTTTCCAGTTTGCTAAATTTTCAGGTTTAAAGCCTAATCTTTCTAAGACTAAAGCCATTTGGATTGGATCAAAAATTAACTGTAATGACAATTTGTGCAAGGAATATAATTTAGAGTGGACATCTGAGACCTTTACAATATTGGGAATAACATTTAATGCCAGTCTGGACAACATTGAAAAGATAAATTTTATTAACAGAATTAATGATATAAACAAAGAAATGAGCAACTGGGAAAAGAGACATATTACACCTCTTGGTAAAATTACAGTTATAAAATCTCTCCTTCTTTCAAAAATTACACATTTATTGTTAACGTTGCCAAAACCATGTGATGAAACTATGAAAAACCTTGAGAAATCTTTTTTTTAAGTTTGTATGGAACAATAAAAATGATAAAATAGCTCTAAATATAATGATTTTAGATTTTGATGATGGTGGCTTTAGAATGCCACATTTGCCAACATTTATTAAGGCACTTAAGCTTACAGTGTACTTGGATCAGGAGGTTAATACATACAGATTCTACCTGGTCTAGAATATTTATGGAATCTACAGGCTGTAATATTACAAAACTCTTACAGTTTGGATCAGAACATGCTTTATATTTTAGTAAAACAACAAATAATATGTTTTGGAAAGAAGTTCTTTCTGATTATAAAGAATTTATTAATTTATTTGAACCTGAAAATATTTTTCAGGTTATGAATGAACCTCTGTGGTTTAACAGTAGTATCAGAGTACAAAATAAGTCTGTTTTTTACAAACAATTGCGAAATATATATTGTGTCTGATCTATTAGATACTGAAGGCAAATTGTTATCTTTTAATTGTACATCCATTAATTATGATGTTTTGATCCCATTTTCTAATTATGAAGGGCTTAGACTTTCCATTTTGAAAAAATGGCCTGAAGTTAAACAAAATAGAACATCAGTTATTGGAATATCTATTCCTACACATATTCAGTTCCTTTGTCGTGATGGTTCTGGCTGTAAATCATTATACAACTTCTTTCTATCCAAGCGTTATAATCAACCAGTATGTGTAGCAAAATGGACAAGAGATTTAGGGTTGCAGAATGACTTTAACTGGAAAGATCTTTTTACAAATTTGCAATAAATATGGAGGACATTCATTCAAAAAGAGATGGTTATTTTGGTACCATTTATTTGAAAAATAATCAGCTATGTACTACAACTATAAAGAAAAATTGCAGTTTTTTTTACTTTTTCTTGTAAAGATAGTAAACATTGTAATTTGTATACATGCATATATATATACATATATATATATATATATATATATATATATATATATATATATATATATATATATATGGAATTTTTTTTTGTGTAGGTGAAACTCTAAGTGAATGAGTGAGAAGAAAGAGTCAGAGAGTGAATGTTTAATAAAAATCCGCAATGTTTATCTGTATAAATACTGTTATATGTATATTGAAAAGCGGAAATAAAAAAAATAATAATAATGATAATAATAAAAAAAAACAATATAGTTACTTCCATTCATATGTCAACTCGATATATCCCAGTGAGCTTGAAGTAAACGATATCACAAAGTCTGACACATCTGTTTCATATTTGGATATTTTACTAGAAAAAACTTTTATGCCTGCCTTCCCATATTCCATATAAATAAGAAGACTCAACTCCCATATAAAGAA